CACACACACACACACACACACACACACACACCCCACCCACCACAGTCCACCACCTTCTCCCTGCAAGACCTCGGGGGCTGTTGGCCTCATGGCTTTCTCCCGAGCTTGTTTCCCATGCCTGAACTGACTCCTTCCCATGCCTGGACAGGCTCCTTCCCACTGACCCAGCAGGGTTCCAAACGCCAGGCCCTCGTGCAGACACAGGCACTGTGTGAGAGTGGAGGATAATGACACCGGGTCACGCAATGGAGAGTGCTTGCCTTGCTGCATGGCATCCGGGCGGAAAAGGAGACGGTCGGTAGGTGAGGCGGCCTCACTAGGCCCTTACAGCTTTGACCTGGGCTATTTCGGCTCTAGGAAAAATTCCAAAAAGAGTTCCAGGAGCAGATGGGGACCCGCCACCACTTCCGCCTGAGCCAAGGGAGCAGCATCGTCTCCTCTGACATGGAAGAGCTCCTTCTGGGCTTGGAGGGGCCCTTTCTACAGGTGCCAGGTAACCGTCTCACCGCCCCCCTGCACCTCCCTCTGCACGGCCAGGAGCGCCCCACTGAGGCTACCACTAGCAGAAGCCAGGGGTGGGGGGCTTACAGACTTTGTGCCGACTCACCCAGTGGGGTGGGAACCACCCCATCCTGCAGGCAAGACCCCTGAGAGCCACACCATCACCCAGAGAGTGACAGCTGGGCCTTCACAAAGATCCGAAGGCGCCCCAATGCAGGGGACATGGAGGGAGGGATCGTTGGATCCCAGGGAGGGATCTTTAAAGACACTCCCTTTAAAGACCAGAGTCTCTGCCAAACATCTTTCCTTCCTGCGCCTCATTTAAAACTCAATCCTTTCCATTAAGACAGACAAACAGTGACCCCACGGGGCAGAGCAGAACTGACCCACGGGTTCCTGAGACTCCCTGGGAGTGGCTGGTAGGGGCCACACCACCCACCTTGCGGTGTGCAGACAAGCACTTCACCACTGAGCCACCAGGGGACCTTCTGAATCTGCCACCCAAGAGTGTCAGCAGCACGTCTGAGTCCCGACGCTTCGGGGTGGACTTTGTTCTTGTCTGTTGACTTGTTGGTTCTGGCTGCTGGTTTCCATGCACCACGCTGCACAGCCCTCTGAAGGGTGTGTGTGCTCCCCCCTGACTGGCTCTTCCTTCCTTTGCCGCCTGGCTGCACCAGGCTCACAATCATGGTCCATGGTGGGGATTGGGGGCAGAGGTCAGAGCTGCCTGGTATCCCCACTGCCCCTAGCCACTTCTCAATGGTGTCTGCTGCCCCCCGCCCTGGCCTGCCCAGAGCGCCCCCAGGTGCCCCTGAGGGAAGCCTCACAGCCAGCATTCCTGGACCACCTGCAGCAGCTGAGCACAGAGGAGGAGGGGCAGGGAGAGTCCGAGGGCAGTGGAGAGGGGGATGAGGAAGACTCCCAGCTGGTGGTCCTGGACCCCAATCACGTAAGAGGACAAAGACTACCTGGATGCTTCCCCAGCGTCCCTAGCCGCTCTGCCCCTCTTTCTCGC